TGACCTGGTTCTAGAAAAGCAACATCCACATATATGTAAAACTATTTGGTTTACACTGATTTTTGTTCACTTTTGCTCACTCAGTAGTCAATTTATTTTCTCATTTAAGCATATGAGTTAACTATTTTGAAAAGTGTGGAATAAGTTGAAAGAAAATTAACGATTTTGGCATAATAGTATCCTATATGTAAATCTAACACCAAACTATCCATTTGGGGCAAGTTCAGAATCTCATGATTGTAAACAATTCAGTTTCTGACCCCTGGATGGCTGGATGTATATGTTTTGAAACATAGCAGAGCTCTTCGAAAGTATGTTGTACACTTAAGGCATAAATAAAATTAATAGACTTCACTTGCCTTAACTCTACAATCTACATATGTTTTCGTTCTTTAGCATTAGTGATGACCTGATCCATTGCTATATTTCCAGTGCTTGATTTTACCATTCAGGTTCTTCGGAAAGGAGCAGCTGCTGATGATATGATATCACCTTTAATTGTTTTCTCAATTCAATACATCATGGTTAATCATGTGAACTGGAAACACAAGGAATGTAGTCGTTGGAAAACAACCCTTCGGGTATGTTTTTTTTATTATTCTTTTATGCTTGTTCAATGTAATGATAGTATAGCTTGTTACCTGTGATTTTTTTAGTACTTGTGAGTCATAGCCCTTTTTTTTTCTGTCGATTGAACTGAATAAACATACTGTAATCCACTTAGTTGGCTGTGATTCTTATTTCATTTTAGTAGATTTCTTTTAGAAACATTTCAGTTTTGTTGATCTTGTTTTGATTTGTTGTTACCATTGATAATAGAGAAGCTAAATATTGCCACTGAACTGTAATTGACTAGGTGTTTGAATTGGTGAAAAGCTGTATTCAAGTAAAACCGTTCTCATCAAAGCTTGGTGGCATCATTTGGGAAATTCTACTATATGATTCATCTGTCTACGGTGTACTCTGGAGCATATTATCTGTGTCAACACAATTACTGCATGTAAGGATATTCTTTCTGTTAGTATTATTGATCATTAGCTTTGTGACCTTTACATGATATCTGTTAAGAAAATTTCAGGACTCATATCGGAGCAATTATCATGGTCTTAAGGATATTGAAGATATCCAGCTTGTCCTTTGCAATGGACTTGATATTATATATCACATCCTGTCCAATTTACCAGAGGTAAAAAAAGGAAGACATCTTGTTATGTCATTTTCAATGTACATTTTACAACACATCGATATTTTGCTTATACAGTATAGTTTTCTCCACTGTTGTAAAATATGTTTACAGCTACACATTTGTTACATGTGATTATTGCTGTGAATTTGAACTAAGCTATCATCATGTGCAGCATACTACTATACTTAATAGTTAATGATAATTGTGAGCTACATATAAGAAGTAATAAAGAGCTCAAATGGACTAACTATTGTTGGCATTACACATAATGAAACTATGCCTATTGTGCTTTCAAAGTGTTATCAATGCTTGTTATATTAAATAAACCAGATACTATCTGTTATCAATGCTTGTTATATTAAATAAATCAGATACTATCTAATTGTGTTTCCCTGAAAGCATCCAAGTGATTAATGACCTGCTAGATTGTTAAATTCAACTTCTATCTAAAAAACTTTAGTGAATCCCATGGTACTCCTTTTTTTGGCAGGGATGCTATATTTGCACTTTTCAATAGGGCAACTTCTTAGAAGGTGCAAAGTTTGATGTTGTGTCTTACTACCTCTGGTCATAAATACTATATGTTTTGGCATGGTTCAGTCAATCTTTTGACACTTTGAGCAGTAACAAGTTTTAAAGTATTAAGTTTGGAAACATGACATTCGTATGTGTAGATTTGTCTTGAAAAATTCTTTCACAATCTCATAATTTATATTCTAGTAGAAAACACTGGTCAGTTGTACACATTGGAGACCATATCATGTTCAAATCTGTCAAGCAGTTTTTACTTTTTGGAAAAGTCAAGCAGTTTTTACTTTTTGAAAAAGTCAAGCAGTTTGTACTCTGGGGAGTATGTTCTTAAACTCTGTTTAGAGCATGCTGACAAGAATTACTTTGCATATGGTGTTAAATATAAATAAAAGGCCAGTTCAATTGAACTTAAATTGAAAGATTAGACCATCACAAGGTCCCTTTATATGGGTTATTAGTCATGAAACACTAAAGTCATTGTTTAAAGTAGAAATAGTTTGCCAATAGCATGGGACACTAGCATGTAGCATTGAGCAAGGAGAAATTTGGTGAGTCTTGTCTTTTCTGCTGTCATCATGGTTTCATGGACAGACCCTTCAATTCCATGTGCTGAAAAGGTATCTAAATTGTAAAACCATGTACAAGGCTGCCTAGAATACTACTGGAGCCATTTGATCACCCTCATAAGGATGCCAAAGAAGCAACTGTACACATCTTTAACATCAGTATGTTTGGCTAATAGGACATTCGATTGGTTCTATGGAAATGTTGAGCTGATACTGGATAGAAGTATTTCATTTCTGGTTCGCCTATCATAGTTTGGAAGGGATGCCATTTGCTATGTTATGCTGTTTTTTTTGACTTGTTATTCTTTCAGGATTTACTGCCGAATCCACCATTCATTACCATGGTTTTGTCATCTTCATTGAAGCCATTTTCTTTTATCACAGCTCTAATATCATTGACATATTTTCATAATTCTGTAAGTCTACAATTATGTGCCCTGAGCAGAGTCTTTGCATTTATTGTACTGAGTTCAATGTATTGTTTAATTATGGCCCGCCAAGAATGTCATGTTATCTATGTTTGTGTTCTAAGGTTAATTGCATAGTTTGCAGTCTTCGAGGGGTGTCTCTAGAGGTCCTAGGTCAACTATTTAAAAATGACACATGTAACATTTGTTTCACTGTAGAAATTCATCCATGTGAAACAAGGGTATTCTGGTTCCATTTTAGAAAGAAACAAAGGAAATGAAAAGAGAAGAAATGCATCTTATTTGTGCAAAGAGTATTTCAAAGGATGGATGAATGGTTGTCTTGTTCGCATTTTTGAAAGTTTGCATCAATGTTGGAAAATGTTTGTTGGTGGTGAGCTATGCTCAAGTGTACATGTAGAATAACCAATCTTGGAATGAAACCATCTGTTCTCTGAAACTGTTTGGATTTTATATTCACTCAATCCATTCATGTATTTTCTGGACTTTTTCGCTGGTGAGGAAGTTATGTGAACATCAGTTGATAGAACAAAAACTGCTCCCTGTGTCTATCAATGTAAGGCGTATTTTGGTTCAAGAAAAAGTCTTTGAAAGTATATTTTGACCTTTAGTTTCTCTTAAAATGTATGCCAATTGCTACAAAATCAACGTCACCCTAAAAGTTTTGAATACAAATCAGCAACATTTTTACACTTGATGTTCATTTATTTTCACTTATTGTTGGTCAAAACTTCCTAGGTTTTGTATTTCAAATTAAAGACACCTTACATTGATGGAGTGCTTCTGATGGCCATCTTGTTGGCCTGAAAAATGAGAACTTATGAAATTGGTTGCTGCCTCTCTTTTTTTTTATATTTTTTTCTTTATTATGCCTGTATCTTATCAATGTATTTATAATTGAGACGGAGGATCCTCATTTGTTTCTCAAGGATATGCAATTAGCTGCCGCTAGAGCATTCTCAGCATTGTGTTTCATTGCATATAAGGCCCAACCTCAGTTGATGGAAAATGCCAGCTTTACTGGTGATGTTTCTGAGGTTAGTACTTTATCACACTATGTTTGTTCAGTCCTTCATTGTTCTTGATAACCTTTTTTAAAAAAAAAAAAATCTTTTGCCATCTTTATACGCTGATGTCACTCTTCTTATGTTTCCTCCCCCTTTCACAATTGCTCTCAGATTCGGAGATTGGAATCAAGTATATCCTACATTCTAGATGAGGATGATAAAACTAATGATTGTTTGGTTGTGGCTGTATTCAACCTTTTGACATCTGCTGCTCGTTATCAGGTGTTGTTTCTTCCATAGTGTTCATATTTTGAGTATGCTATACAGAAATAACAAGTGAGATGGTCGTTGATGTAAATGTTATCCTATGAAGCCAGTGGAGAAATGCTCTTTTGAATATGTTTGTGATTCAGATTTTCATATTATCATTATATAATGATCACCACTTTTGTGAATCTTTTTTATCACATTTATTTATATAGCATGCCTGAGATACTGAGTCGCTGACTTTATATAATTTGTTGCATAGACTATCAAATAGAGTTATTCATATGCTGTCTTTTGACAAATAATTCCTTAAATGTCAGTACTAATTCTCCAAATCAGCATCTGTTGTTGCAAAACAACTTGACTGTTTCATAGAATTATTCATATGCCATTTTTGGACAAATAAGTCCTTAAATGTCATTGCTAATTTCTCTAAATCAGCATCTGTTGTTGCAAAACAACTTAAGGACTACTACATGTACATCCATTTGAGTACAACTCAGGATCCAAAGTTTAAAGTCATTTTAATACAAAGATTACAACTACAATGTATGGTTTATACAGTACATGAGTAGTAGCTAAATGATTTTATTCAAAGCATTTCCAAACAACTTATCCACTACATGCCATCTGCTTCCAAAACATTAAACTTATATGCCACTATTGACCGGTGAAGCTGTGTTGGAAGCATTGGTCATGTGTTATGACAGTATGGTCGAGCATGAGATTTTTACCACTGATTGTGTTATGACGAGCTGGTATAAACTATCCTTATTATCTTGAGATACATGTAATAAGTGATTATCTCTAGACTAATTTGAGCTCTATGTGCTGAAGCTGTTTTCTCATAACCTCCACATTCCTGAGCTTATGTTTTTTTTTAAGTTTATTATGTTACTGTGGTGCATCTGACTTCTTCTGTTCTTCATAGACATAAACTGTTAAATAATTCACATGTGAATTAACCCGGCATATTTATTTTGCAGCCTGCTTTTCTTATTTCCTTGATAGAGCAGAGTATGAAGTCAGCTGATCATAATGCTTCCACCAATGATCGTGACAAGGGAGTTTCTGTTACTTCAAAAAGTAATGCTAAACTTGTTGACCAAATCTTGGACTATATTGAAAGGTCCATCGAGCTCATGAATAGGTAAAGGATATATTACATTTGTCGCCATATTACAGGGATCTGATCTTAGGCTAGGATAATTTTTCCTCATTTCTCCTGGAGAAAACTGTTTTGGTTTCATTTAACAAAGTTTTATCAAAAAGAAAAAAAAAACCCTAGGGGCCGTTTGGATCCTTTCATTTTGGAGGAATTGGAATCTACTTAATGGACTAGGCTATTTGGCTTGGAATTTGACATTCCAGAACTTTCCAAAGTTCAGATATAAGTCTATCTTAAATTCATGGTGTGGGAGATGGACATTGATTCTATAGATCCCCATGCTATGTTTCTACTGCGCAACTTATAGACGCTCTTCTACTCACTCCCCTGTAGTAGAAGTGCATAACATAAGTATTTCCCCATATGGCAAACAGTAATATACAAATATATTCGGCATACAACTATATTAGCTTAATTGCCATGTTTTATGGCAAACAGCGCAGCCAGCTCGTACAGTGGCGCCTTATCGCCTAAATATATTCGCATAGGCACTCAACTATATTAGCTAGCCGCCTTTAAAACATGGCTTAATTATTTTGTGCCTAAATTATGATTATTAGAATGGAATTCAATTCCAAGGATCCAAACGGGGCCTTAACTGGTTTCTTCATGACTCCATGGTTGCCCCTATTTTGTCCTGGTACCTAGGAATATGTTAATATTATGCAGTTGACATGTTGAATTGAATTACAATATTTAATATCAGGAAATATATTCCTTGCAGATCTCCCTTGGTGTTACTCAGTATTCTCGACTTGTTGAAGGCATTATGGGAAAGTGGTATACAGTTTTTGTACATTTTAGAGAAGCTAAGAAGATCTGTAACATTCTGGAATAACTTATCACGGTGTATTCGTGCTACACTTGATATCTGCTCTATTGACAGTGTTGATGCCATTGACGAGAAATTTTCGTTAAGGTGTGGTCACAGTCACAGCTATTGAATTGTTGGCCCTTCATCATTTTTTAAATCAATATCTTCTCAAGTTTTTTTTTTAAAAAAAAATTTGGGTTAGCTCTGGTGATCCTGCTTGCTAATGTAGCATTTAGTGTGAGGCCTGGAGTTAAGTTGTAGAATTTTAAATTAAATCTAGTTATTTAATGAATTAGATTCTTTTCCAGATGATTTGCTTCCATTCACTCCCAATAGAAGTTCTTTCAATTTGCAGGTACCATTGTCAAGGTAAGATATTTGAGATCATGTCACATGAGTTATTCTTGCAAGAAAAATTGCTTGCAGAGACTTCTAATACTGCCCAAGATGATCCAAAGGGGCAACAAGAGCATAAAAGTGGGCCTTGTCATAGCAGTGTAGTCTTGAAATGGTTTGATAATGCTATTGTGGACGATCTGATCAGTAATTTGTCAAGTAATGCATACAAAAAGGAACTTCTTCATCATGCAAAGGTAGATTTATTGTTTCTTGTCTGATTCATCGAAGATAATGCAATCCTTTCTTTCTTTTCTTTTCTTTTTTCTTTTAATTTTAGTTTGGCCAGGGGGTTCATATCGTTTCTTTTTCTCCAAGCTCTCACTGGTTATCAAATATCTGACTAAAGCAGTACAAAGTGCATGCACAATGGTGTACTTCTATGGGTGAATTTTGTATTCAGGGGTTCCAGTGACCCCATTAACAAATTCAGAGTACAAAGTGCATGCACAATGGTGTTCCAGTGTCCCCATTAACAAATTCAGGATGTTGCATTGTTTCAAAAGTTCTTCCAAAAATAATGTATGTAGTGCAGATAAAGCTAAACTTGCTAAAACTCAATTTGAAATTCATCCCAGGTGTCAAGAAACAAAATTGACAGGCCGCCAATCTGCCTTTTTTCATCATGTGCTAACAGTACTTTATGTGTGCTACTATGTGATTTTTGTGTGGAAATTTGAAATATTGTAACATGTTCTGTCAATACATCTTTTCTAATAAACAAAAAACATCTCTTGACTTGGAACCACATAAAACAGGACCCTCAATTCTTGGAACCAACACAAACATTCATTTAGGTGCCATGCCATCGTGGTTGCCTTATGTGGCCTGGTTTTAGCTTATGCTGTATGGTCTCCAAATGCACATTGGATTGAGCAGCACAAAGTCCATCCAGACTTTGATTGAAGTCCTCTCATGGATAAGTAGCTCTATGTTTCTGTAGATGGATTGTATTTTTTGTTTGTACAGGAGTGGTTTCTTTTTCCATGGTTCCAAGGGTCAAGGAGATGAGAATGGGGAGAAAGTGAACTACCAAACAACCTGTTTTTGTTTGCCTGGCTTTGCTAGGCTCGCCCGGCTAGCCTGCCCTGGCCTAGCAAAGAAACCAAGTATGCCCTTAATTTCAATCACACATCTTCTCTGGAAGAACAATTTTGCTCCTTTATGTTGATGACATGCTCATCACTGGCGATGATCCTATGCACATATCCTTTGTAAAGAAGTGTCTTAGTGAAAAGTTCATGATGTCTGATCTAGCATCACTCCGATACTTCTTGGGGTTTGAGGTTATCTCCAGCCCTGATGGCTACTTTCTATCCCAGCAGAAGTACAATCAAGATATCTTTGATCATTATGGGCTCACAGATCATCTTATTGCTGAGACTCCTATGGAGCTCAACCTTTAGCTAATCAGCTTTGTGCTATTGATGGTGAGCCTCTCCAGGATCCAACTCTCTATGGCCATATTATTGGGAGCCTTGTTTACCTTGGTATCACTCGTCCTGACATTTCTCATGCTGTTCACATTCTCAGTCAGTTTGTGTGTTCTACTCAGCTTCACTATAGTCATCATCTTTGTGTTCTTCGCTATCTGCGGGGAACCATCTCGCGTCTTCTTTTCTTTCCACGCAGAGCACACTACAGCTCCAGGCATATTCTGATGCAACCTGGGCCAGTGATCTGTCTGATTGTCGATCTCTTTCTGCCTATTGTGTTTTCCTTGGCTCCTCTCTCATTGCTTGGAAGACAAAGAAACAAACCGCTGTATCCCGCTCGAGCGCTGAGGCTGAGTTGAGAGCTGTGGCATCAGTGACAGCTAAGATAACTTGGTTGAGGTGGCTTTTAGTTGATCTTGGGGTTTCTGATCCAGGACCTACTCCCCTGTTGTCGGACATTAGCAGTGGCGAATGCAGCCTAGGAGGGGCTCATCCATCTCTATCCTCCTCTTTGTCTTTTTCTTCTCCTCCTCTCTTTTGTTCTTCTACTTCACCCCTCCTACATCCACCTGGAGCTATGCCTTCAGATTTGCAGCTACTTAATTTCTTCACAAAGTCGCATACCAGGGCGCGTCATATCATATGTTCTATCTTTCCAAACTCCCTTCTTCGTATATTTACACAAGTGTATATTTGCTCTTGGGGCCCTTGGAATAGATGAGATGCATTATTGTAAAATTGATCACTGACATGTTGCAAAACCATTGCCATGTCAGCCAAAATAATGGCGGTTTAGCTGATGAGGTGCCCTGATATTGATTGTTGAGTATTGTCTTCTGCAATATTTTAGAATTTAGGTTGGAAAATAAACTGCAGCAAGAGTTGAGGGTTGACAAATTGCCTTTTTCCTCTGATTTTCTTTTCTTTTATTTGACTTGTGGTTACTAATCATGCTAATAAGAATGGCAAGGTACTTTGAAATGCTTATTGCTATTATCTTCATTTCAACAGGTAGCTGCCTGCTTATGTATCATCCATTTAATAACAAAGTTGTCAACTGGTGATACTGGGAGCTTGTCTTTCTCATTCATGAAGAAAATTCAGATCATATCAACAAAAGTAAGGCATCTATGAGACTTTGATGTTGGTTCTTTGGCATCACCTTGTTTACACTGTCTTGCTTCTGTTTGTTTTCTAAATAGAAAAGTACTTCACCTCCTATGGTTTTTTAAAGTCAGTTGTATGGAAAAATCAGACTAGGACATGAGAAAAAAAATAACTACAAAGTATAAAACAGGAGTATGTTTCAAAAAAAGTATAAAACAGGAGGTGAGGCCCTTACTGGAGAATGTAATTTCTATTGGGATGTGTTTCAAAAAAAGTATAAAACAGGAGGTGAGGCCCTTACTGGAGAACATAGTTTCTATTGGGATGCCCACTAGTATATAGCACATCACATCACCAAAGTTGTCCCTTTCAAGTTCCGGTACGTTAGAGATGAAAACTCGATAAGAGTGGTGCAAACCAAAAGAAGACAGTAATATTGTAAAACTAACAAATAATAGTATGAGGCAGACGACGAGGCATCGAGCTTGGAGACCTGCCTAAGGGTATAGGGGGGCATGCTGGAGTGAGAGTGTGAGACTGAAGGAAGGCCGCAAGGTCGGACGCCACTGGTGGCATCCGCCATGGTAGCCTGTGTGAATGCGAGGCGTGCGTGAGGCGGCTGTGCCATGCCGCCATGGCCGGGTGGCGGATCAGGTAGCACCCTGCTGCAGTGCCCACCTAGAGGAGGCAGTGGCGGGCAAAGGCGAGGGCGTGCGGTACATGATGGTGGTCGGAGGTGTGGATGGGGAGCTCGTGGCAGGGCCACTGCCGTGGTTTATTTTTCATTTTATTTCGTTTGCCACAATATCCACCCAACCCCAACACATCTAGCTCATGTATTCATGGGTCGGACAAAAATCTATCCTAACCTATCTAAACCCACCCATGTCTAAATAAAGATGCTTATGAAAAGATACTTTTATTAAATGTTTAGGCTACTGGATATACTTAATTTGTTATATTACTTTTTTTTCAGCTACTTACAGTTTGTTTATGCAGTTGTCACAGCACCATGCATTCTTAGCTCTCCTGTCACAGTATTCCCGCCATGGATACAGGTAACCTTCTTAGTTTCGTGGAATCTATGATTGTGACTACTTTTTGTTTGAATCTGCATTAGGCATTATTCACTTTATTGCTCAAACAAGTATTCGATTTCTGAGTCTGTAGACATTTGTTTCTGAGTTCAGAATATTGTCAGTTCTCCTTATCTTATCTACGACTCGTGTTAACCTTGATAGAGTAGAATTGACTTGTATGGGACTCCTTTCTGAATCTGTTATTGTTTTGGAGAAAGTGAGATGCATGAAGTGGTAATCAAGAACTTACTGATTTTATTCTCCCTTGAATGTGCAGTGGTGAACAAGAACTTAATAATTTGGTTATCAATGATCTTTATTATCATATACGTGGAGAACTCGAAGGTCGTCAGATTAGCTCTGGCCCTTTCCAGGAGTTGCTCAGTTTTCTTCTGGAGTTAAAACTTTTTGAACACAATCCCCTGGAGCAACTACAAAATACATACCTGATGGCAAACGACAAATTTGTATTTGATGTGGAGCACATACATGACGAGCTTGGAGTTGATCTCTGGACTGATTCAGACAGGAAGAGGTCCAAAGAAGTAGCTAAAAAAATGCTGGATATTATGCGTAAAGCAAATTTAATGAAGTGTTATGCTGATGCAAAGCTTTCTGCATTGAGGTCCTTCTTGACATTTTTATCTGTCTACACAGGAGCGGTAATTTCATTTACCAATTGAGAATTGAGTTACTTTCTTTCCTAGACTATATTGTTACACCATACTGTTTCTGTTACAAACCATAGTTCATTGGTCGCTTTGGGGGGGAGATTAGACTATAGGGAGACTTGGACTAGTTCTTCATTGGTTGCTTCCAATTGACTGCCATGTCTCTTTATATAGACCTGGCTCCTCAAAAATCGTAATAACTTCATCTCCTAACAATCTTATCTAATCCTAACTAATTTGCTTAAGGCCTAATCTCTCTAACTCACCGTGGTCAACAGCTGCCCCGCCCCATAACACTCCCCCACCCTTGGGAAAACAGCTTATCCTTGAGCTGCAGAGGAGAACTTGTGGCAGTACGCACTTGACACTAAATGCGACACACCTTGAAATAACAGCCTTTTACATCTTGGCTCATTCCATAGAAAAACTTGAGATAATTCAATCTTTATTTGTGGTGCTCTCTGTGCATTGCCAACTATTGGTGGACCCCATCCAGAAGCATGGACAGAGAATGCAGGGGCATCTTCCCTGGCCGACCTTGTATAGAACAGAGCTGCAGCCTGTGTTGCTCCTGGTTCTGCTTAGGTGGCAGGGAGAACGCAGGACCCAGCACTGTTGGACACCTGCAGTGCCTTCCCTGATGTGATGTTATGCTATTGCAACGTGCTCCAGCTGCTCCTCACGTGCCCTGGGAGGATGCAACAGACCAAGCAGACAAATGCCTCCCAAAGGCTCCCTGACCATGCATGCGAGGGGACTGCCAGGAATTGCTGGAACAACAACAGCCGAATCCACATACTGCCCCCACACGACCACCACCTCCACCGACAAGGATGACTTGGCCCTCAGTCGCATTGTTGCCTGCACCACCAGGCTCAACGGCGGTGGCATTGCCACAGGTAGCACAAATGTGGCGGTTGGCTGTGCTAGTTGGATAGCGCCTTGACATCTGCTGCTGTTGCAGCATGATGGCACCAACCGATCAGCAGCAAAAGCCATGGAAAAGGACCCCTGTCTATCCTGATACCAGATGTTATGAACCATAGTTCATTAGGGGTGAACACCACCGAGAAGATAGCCAGGCGAATTCAGCCCTTTGTGGTAGGCTGGACTATATGGAGACTTGGACTAATTCTTCTTCATTGCTTGCCTCTGAATGAGTCCAGTGCGCCCATTCCTCTCTTTATATAGAGCTGGCTCCTAACAAATTCTACAACTTTATCTTCTAACAGCCTTATATATTCCTAACTTTAAATTAAGGCCTAATCTCTCTAAGTAACAATGGCCACCCATAACGGTTTCTCTCTTTCCCCTTTGATATTCTGAAGGTCCAAAAAAATACTTTTATTTCATGTTGTTCATAAACCTGTCAGACCCATAAGCATGCCCTACCGTGTTTACTTAAGAGTGTGTGTGTGTGGGTGGGGAAGGGGGGGGTTCAGGAATGATGTGCCTTATTCACTGGTGACCGGTTTGGAAAATATATGAACCTACCCATGTTGACTTGAGGTAAATGTGAAAGCTGCAATTTACTTGTAATTTTTGTTTGGCAGCTAATCTTGAACATCTACAGGTTTCTAACAAAAACTTGGACTTACCTGATGGAGGCATATCAGTAGCGGCCACACAATCGGCAATTAGATGTGCATGTAAATCATTTGAGTCAGCTGTTGATTCACTGCTTCCTCAAGCTGATACAAATGAGGTTTTGTTTCCTCTCTTGTCCGGACAAGTGGAATTATTGCTAACTCTTGCCCGAATATTATTTCATCAAGCAGAGAACAAGAAATCAAGCCATCTCTGCCCAGATATTGTACTTCTAATGAAAACTTCAGGTGCCAGCATGTCTTTTTTTGTTGATCTCATGCCATCTGCTCATGCTCTCAAGAAACCAGTGAAGGCACTTCTTGTTCTGCTTTTGTCGTCATATGAGTTCATGTACAGCAAGGTTGACATAAAAGACCTACCAAATGATGTTAACATGTTTGGCGAATTAGCCCTTTTAAGTGTGAGCTTGCTACCTATACTGTGCAAATTGGCAGAGAATAGGGAATGCTCTGATCTTGCTGTTGCATCAATGGATCTAATATTGAAAGGATTTGTACCTTCTAATGTATGGGTGCCTATTCTGCAAAAGCATTTTCATCTCCAGGCTATACTGCATAAATGCCAGAATGGTGATTTATTATCTACTCAAGTTATACTTAATTTCCTCTTGACCTTGGGGCGAACAAAGGATGGTGCTAAAGTTCTTCAGTCTGCCAATATTTTTGCGTTCTTAAAGGTACTTTTGAGTCAGTTGTCTCTGGATGACTCCTGTTTGAGAAATTCCTTGAATGCCCAAGTGAAGGATGTGAACCTATGGGGCTTGGGTCTCGGTATTGTTGCGTCCCTGAACCATTGTTTGGATGATGACATTTCTCATAACAATGTCGCGAACAGTACTATCAGCTTCCTTTCAGGACAGGTGCCTCTGATGTCATCATATCTATCTGCACAGAGTGCTTCTACTCATCAGAGCAAGAAACGGGCATTGTCGCAGAAGTCACAGACATCACTTTCAGCCCTTAGTCTTACTGAGAATATTCTGATACTTCTATGTATCTTGGCAAAATATCATTTTCCACGGGACACTGGAAAGAAGGAAGTAGATTCAGAACTAAGAGAGATTATTATCCACCTGCTAGCATTTATAAGCAAAGGAAGTGTAAAGACTGGCGATGCCTCTAACTGGAACTCATCGTTTTTCTGCCCTGCTGTTATCAAAGAGGAACTAGCGCTTAATTCGAATCCACCACTCATTTGTAGCAAGTATGGATGGTTCAAATTTGCTGCAAGTTGTACTTTGTCAACTGCAGCTGTTTCAGTTTCTCCCAGTGCAGCTTTATCGGTGGTGAGAAGGGACAAGAGTTCAGGAGATTCTGATTGTATAAGGCAAACTCGTTATACTGAGATATTAGCTGTTCAGATTTACAGGATTGCTTTTCTTATTATGAAGTTTCTCTGTAGTCAAGCAAAAGCAGCAGTAAAAAGGGCAGAAGAACTGGATTTCCTTGACCTTGCCCATTTTCCTGAGCTTCCCATGCCAGATATTCTTCATGGTTTACAGGTGGCAGCTGCTGTGCCTCTTGTTGCTTTCCACAAGTGCTACTTTGTGCTTATATATATATTTTTTTCTCTTGGACCGCTTTTCATTGTTTCAAATGTGTAGTTGTAGTTTTGAAGTAAAGGAAATGCTAAACCAGTTTAATTATGTAATACATGGATTTTACACTATAATAGGTAATCAGTTAATTCTTATAAGGTAATTGTTTTTGCTTTTTTTATTTCTGACTTCTCTCAGTGCAGATTTCACTGAATGTTCCTAACTGCTAGTTGTTATAAGTAGGTGACCCAAAGTAGGTGACCCAAACATGATGTCTAGCCTTACAAAGGAGTCATAGTGCAGTGTGCAGAGTATTGACTTCATTCATACTTGAAACTGTTTATTGTAGACTATTGACTTGAAACTTGTACTAGTTTATGATTATTGACTTGAAACTTGAAAACTGGTTTATCTGCATTCTACAGTTCTACTCTATGTTTAAGTTTAAGGTCCAGTTCATTAGGATCTTGTTGAAATATGCCATCTTCTCATGAATAAGACATTAAATTTCTATTTATAGATATGAAAGATGTTTTTTTGTGTGTATAATTCCCTCTTCCATCTGTGATCTCTCTTTTCAGGATCAAGTGGATTTGTATTGTCACTGAAGTATTTGAGGCAAATGGGTCAAGCACTCTAAATCCCGAGACAGAGAAGGTATGCCAGCTCCTATTGGTGACACTTGAAACGTCACTTTACATGGAACTATGTGTCTCCCAATCCTGTGGCATCAGGCCAGTACTTGGTCGGCTTGAAGATTTCTGCAAAGGAATTAAGGCTATGCTTCAAGGTACTCTTCGTAATTGGAATTAGCACTTTGAATTTTGTATTGTTTTTTCAGGTTGCATTTGTACTCACTTTTCCCCTCCTTTTATGATATTTTGCAGCTATAGAGAAGCACTCCAGTTTTAAATCATTTGTCAGGTCCCTAACTGAAATTACTACTCTTCTGTACCCTGGGCTTTTGCATAGTAACCTTCTCATGTGACTCTTGTAAATTGTTTCTTGGTTAAAGAAATGTGTTGGCTAACTTTGCATTGAGCCACTTGTGGACTTCCATACTCAGTCGACGTCGTAACGTGCAGAATCTGTGTTGTTAGTTTGTTACACGAAACCAGACCTCGTCTCTACGACATCCTCCTATACATGTTTTACAAGGGTTGGTCTACGTACTTAAGAATTGCATTTATATATATTTATATATAGTCAGTGGTCACCAGGGCCTCACATGTTACTGTCACCAAAGTAAAGTGGATTCCAGCGGCTACGATATAAATTTTCTGAGCCAGGGCACCAAATCAGACTGAAGGCAACGACACCCGAGGAAGCTTCGTTTTCGCATCACCTTTGTTCGGTTTCACAGCTGAGGCCCCCAAAGTGCGTCCCATCATCACAACCAGAGAACTAGAAACAAATGATACATGTAGATGCTAGGCGTTCTTGAGCAGGTGCGCAATTTTTTCTTTAGGAGAACACAGTTTTGGCGCATTGCATTTGATTTACCCTACCTTTCTTTGCCTTCTCCATCTGTTCAAGCTTTCGTTTAAAAACTCTACAGTGCAAATTAACCTGGTTTGGGTGTTGAGCTCCCTCAAATCGTTCCGGTACAGGATATCAATTCCTCTGTTAGAGACAAGGTAAGGAGGAGCACATAAATAAACGTTGTATAGTGTACAACCCTTTAGTCGACAAACGAAATATAGGTCCTGTTCACTTCGCTGAAAAAAAAAGTCAAAATACTGTTTCGATTGATTTGTTACGAGAGGAAAACACTATTTCGATTAAAAAATTAAGCTAAAAAAGACGGATCATAAAAGAAACGAACAGGGCCATAGTTTAAGACAAGCTAAATAAGACAGATTATAAGAAAAGCAAACAGTACAGTACCGTAGTTTAGGAAGTCGGCTACCGCGAATGGACGAGATGGAGGGTGACATACGTGAGGGGGGCCATATGGTAAAGTGACAGTTGGTAAGGTAGAAAGTGACAGTCGTAAGTCCTGTCGGATGCCCTACCGGCTGAAGCATGTGTCCCCTGGGCGTGTCCCCTTCGGTGTCTCCGCACACGTGCCAATCATCCATTCGTTCCCCTCCAGAGATGGGCCCTCATCATTTCTCCGTCCGCGCCGTACGCTACGAGAAAACGGAGCCGTCCAACGGAACCGTCCGCCTAGTCCGCCTCCCACGTTCACGTGCTTATCGGACCCACATTAAATTCCCGCCAGTTGAATTAAATAAAGGAGGCAAAAGGTGCTAGCCTGTGAAAAATGGCGCCAATTATGATAGTTGGTTTCATCAGATTAGACTAGCATTCTTCTTGTTTCTCTCAATCTACACAACAATGGCATCTCAGCCAATACTCTCCATGCCTGACGATGCTAGCTACATGGGGGCATCTCAGACAATTCCCCTCATGCCTCACGAGGCTAACTACATGGATGCTGATTCTCCGCAGGTACCCAGAATCTTGATATGACCTCCTGTTGTTGTCACATTCTCACAGAACTTCTCTAGATCAACATTCCTTCATCTGGCAAAGTAATAGAGTTAGAAAATGCAAGTCATATTGGATTACCATTCATAATGTTTTGTCTATGCAAATATATTTGAAATTTAACCTCCATTGCAAGTTTGCATAATTTCTAACTTATTTTGCATGAAATCCGCTACAAATCCAACCAGACCGAACCTACTCAGGTAGAAAATTCTATGGAAGACAGGATACCTAAGGTTGGTATGAAATTCTGCACTGAGGAAGAGGCATACCTCTTTTACAATGCCTATGCTCGAGACAAGGGTTTTAGTATTCGAAGGAGCAGTTCACATAATGTGAAAAATAGCACCACCATAAAGAATAGAACCTTTTGTTGTTCTCGTGCAGGTATTAAATCACTTGTCTTGTGCCACTTTCTTCATCATTACGGATAGAACATCATTTTTCAATTATTTATTTATTTATCAATAGGTGTTCGGCGTCCTGATAAAAAAGAAGAATCTTCCAACTATAGTAGACCAGAGACGATGTATGTGTGAAGCTCGCATGAAGATAAGTCTTACAGATGGATTGTACTGCATCTATGAGTTTGAGCCTGAACATAATCATATTCTTGCTACTAGCAGTCAAGTTCATCATTTAAGATCTCAAAGAAGAATAACAGAAGCACAACTTGCAAGTGTAGAAAATGCTAAAGCAGTCGTCATTTCAAATAAAGCTACCTTTGATCTCATGGCAAAAGAAGCAGGTGGAGTTGAGAATCTTGGATTTACTCGTGAAGATATGAAGAATAAATTGTATTCAAAGAGCTCACTACAGATAAACCATGGGGACACTGGAGGAGTATTGGAATATCTAGAGAAGAAAACATCAGAAGATGGGAAGTTTTTCTATTCCATTCAGGTTGATGAGGATGACTTGATAACAAATATTTTTTGGACAGATTCTAAAATGGTTGCAGACTATGAAGTTTTTGGTGATGTTGTTTGCTTTGACACGACATACAGAAAATTAAATGATGGACGTCCATTTGGTTTGTTAGTTGGAGTGAATAATAACAAGAAAACAACAATTTTTGGTGCTGCACTTTTGTATGATGAAACTGCTGAGAGTTTTGTCTGGCTTTTCAACACTTTTTTAACTGCTATATGTCAGGCAAGAAGCCACAAACCATTTTAATCGATGAAGATGCAGCAATGGCAAAAGCAATCATGCAAGATAGCATTGCCAGAGACTCATCACAGAATTTGTATTTGGCATATGAACCAGAATGCGTGCAATGTTGGAGAGAGCTGCAAATTGAGTTCTTCAGATTACACCTTGTGCAAACCCGTTCGGCTGAGGAGTTCGTGATGAATGTGCTGTCGCTGAGACGGGATATATGTTTGAGAATTGTGATTCTGCTTTGGCGCTGGTGGGACGTGCGAAACAAGACCAACGCCGGTGACCTAATGCCCACGTGTCAAGACACGGTGAGGTCTGCTACCACGATACTGAATGATATTCAGAGAGAAGACACGGGTGAGTCTCGGATGTACCAGGCCCAAAGGAAGTGGCAGCCTCCATTGCCTGATATCCTTAAGATAAACATTGATGGCTCTTTTCAGCACGTATCCAAGACTGGGGCATGGGGCTTTATTATCAGGAACCACGAAGGAATGGCAGTGTTAGCCGGGGCTGGGAACCTTGGCCCGGTGCATGACGCCTTGCTTGCCGAAACAATGGCATGTAAGCATGCGCTGGAAGCTGCCGAGCACTTTGGCATCTCCCAAGTAAAGCTCGAAACAGATTCGACCCAGCTGCGAGAAGCTATCATGTCGTCGACCAGAGATCTCTCCATTGGTGGTGGCCTCTTCACTGATATTCGTAGTCTTCTTCAGGAAAATTTCAATTATAGTCGGGTGTGTAATGTTCCTAGATCTTGTAATTCGTATGCGCACGAACTTGCTAGTATGGGTATGAGTTGGGACCCAGGTCAGTCATGGATATGGACTGATCCCTTCCCCGAATTTGTAAATGTTTTTGCTGCTCGTGATTTGGCTGAGCATGCGTCTATTAATGCAAGGCCGTAGAGCCGATGTGGGTATCAAAAAGAATGCGTGCAAGCACCTTGCTGGAGTTGTGGAGGACTATAAGAAGTTCATTAAAGATTTTCAAAACTGTATTTATGATCAAGAGGAGGATGATGACTTTATAAATGCATGGAACAATTTGCTAGACAAGTATAAGCTACGAAACAATCAATGGCTCCAAAGATTATTTGATAAAAGGGAGAAATGGGCCTTAGCATATGGAAGAAATACATTTTCTGCTGATATGGTTAGCACTCAAAGAAGTGAAAGCATGAACAATGAATTGAAGGGGTATATTAGTGTCAAATATGACATACTTACCTTTTTTGAGCACTTTGAAAGGTTAGTGGAAGATGAAAGATATGAGGAGGTAAAATGTGATTTCAAGGCAACACAAAGTACACCTAAGTTGAAATCTGACTTGAGAATACTAAGGCATGCAGCAAGAATTTTTACTCCAGCCATATTTAAGGTATTCCAAGAAGAAGTGATGCAAACACTGAATTGTGATCTGTTCGATTGTGGTGACAGTAATGCTGAAAAGGAGTACAAAATAAAGGTTTATGGTAAGAGGAATGAACATGTCGTGAAGTTTTCTGCATCTGAAGTTGAAGTGAAGTGTAGCTGCAAAAAGTTCGAATTTGTTGGAATCTTATGCTGCCATGCGTTGAAGATACTTGATATCAACAATATCAAAAAAATTCCTGAACAATACGTACTAAATAGATGGACAGTTGATGCAAAAGTAGTTCATATAAAGAACAATTCTGAGAGACATGAAGATCCCAAAACAAAGCTATCAAAACGGAGAAAGGAGTTATGCAGAATGTTTGTTCATTTAGCTACTCGGGCTGCAGAATCTGATGAAACATACTTTATGGCTGTGAATAATGCAGAGAAATTAGCAGAAGATGTGGAGAAAGGCCTAAAAATAAGAGCTGATTCAGATGTCGGTACCTTATCTCATTCACAAGGTTCATACTCCCTGAGTAATAATTGCGTGAACACCATACATATGACACCAAAATCTAATTATTATCTATTTTGTAGGTACACAAGAAGAAGACCAAGGTATAAAACCAAAAGGCTTGAAGGTTAAGGAGAAGGAAATTCATGGATCTGAGAGACCAATTGGTGGTTTCGAGAAGGCAACATGGCAGAAAAAGAAAACCAAGAATGACCCAATGTCTTCTGGTTCTGCAACAGAAGCAAACACACGACGGAAAAAGAAAGGCAAGAATGACCCAAAGGTTTATGGTCCTGCAGTGGAAGTAGATAATGTAACATCTGAGCAACCACACTACACTGACCTGGTACGAGATTTCTGTTATATTTAATACTATCAAGACTACTCGTATCTTCATTACTGATATTAGTATTCCATTTTCTTTGGTACAGGGCCATTTAGGGACTAGTATGCAATGATTACAGATCGGACGACTAATCACGATTAATCGTGATTAGTCGTCCTTATCGTAAAAAGGTGCTCGATAAGGGTCCTCGATTAGTTTGGACCGATTAGAAACCTTATCGTCCGATAAGTTGCGACTAATCACGATTAGTCGTCCGATCCGACACACATGACGACTAGTTGGGCCAGTATATTCAGCTAAAGAATTCGGCCCAGCTAAAGAATTCGGCCCACCTAATAGCTGGCCCATTAGGGTAAGATAAGAGTGAGTGTCTGAGTGACGACTGACGAGTGAAGGAGCTTGGCTGCAGCCGCCGCACACGGCACATTTCTCTCTCGCTCTGGCTCTGCTCTCTCTCGCAGCTCCGTCCGCAGCGGCGCAGCTCCGTCCGCCGGCGCAGCTCGTCCGCGGCCTGCAGCTCTGTCCGCAGCGGCGCAGCTCGTCCGCCGGCGCAGCTCCGTCCGCGGCCTGCAGCTCCGTCCGCAGCGGCGTAGCTCCGTCCGCCGGCGCAGCTCCGTCTGCAGCGGCGCAGCTCCGTCGGTCAAGCGCCAGGGTGCGGACGATCTACGAGAGCAAGCTCCTAGAGCACGACCCCGAGCGCCACCTCGCCTGTCTCCTCCCCTGTCTCGCGCGGACGGCGTTCACGAACAAGGACTGCGGCAAGGGCGAGCGCGAGGCACAGTGGGCGGTAGAGCAAAGGGCACTCCACGGCCTGAACCAGCTCGCCACCTCCTCCTTCTCCGACCTTCTAGTCTGCAGCTCCGTCCGCGCCTCTCGCCGGCGTCCGCAGCATCAAGATGAGCCACCACTCTACCTCCTCTGCCATGTTTACATATATTTACATCATATATATAGTATATACATGGTCGATCATGCCATCTAGGCACAAGGACGACTAAATGTCCGACTAGCCGATTAGACCGATTAGGACCGACTAATCGTCCCTTATCGATGACTAATCGTCCCTTATCGACTTATCGGTGGTCATACGACTAGCCTCGATAATACGATCTGAAAACATTGCTAGTATGTACCAAAATCCAATACAGATACCGGGCTACTATCCACATGGAAATGCTTTTGTGCCTCCACCTTTCAGTTCATTCTTTGGGACCCCTAACCATGGTCAAGATACCCAACAAGTAAATGTCACTCAGTCATTCAATACAAATCCCTATAATGTGTTTACCAATTTTAAGTGAAGGTCCCATCCCCTTAGGAGAACTGATGAGTTCTGTGCACTTTCCATGGAATCTTATGTATGGAACAATTTATCATAGCAAGGATCTAGACTCTCATGCTTTGTTAATTTAGTAAGTTCAATTTTATCCGGACTGCATTTTTTTTTTTGGTGATGTGGGGCAAATTTTAGAGAAACAAGTATTCCGATTTGTTTTTTTAGCTAACTGAAATAGTTGATTTGATAGCATCAGACTGAAAGCGGAAGAGTGCATCTTTATTATCAAGAAAAAATAGGGACTAGCACTAGACAACTTACCTTACAAAAAATTGCTGGGCAAAAGAAAGCCTTGATGCCATATTCGACCAAGAGAGGTCTGAAAGCAGACCGTCACCTTCATGCTCAACAGCATCTACGAGCTGCTGCCAACTATATTGAATACGCAACTGAGTCAATGCAAATTGACATCTCCCAACTCGTTGTTCCACCATGGTGTGATGTCAGCTCGATGGACCTGAAGATGAAAGGCAGAATCCTTCTCACAGCACAAATCGAAATCCGCATACTCGAATCCAGATCCCCAATCCAAAATCGAGATCCTAGCAATCCAAATCAAAATGCGCAGCTAGAATCTAGGTTCCAGTAAATCTAATCAACTCACCGCTATGAAGCTTGAGGTCGTTGCTGCCCAAATCGAGTTTATCACCATGGGATTTGACGTTTAAAACTCACGCCATAGGCGAGCAGACCAGCTTCGAGCTGAGAGGCGGAGAGGGGAAAGCGGAGGGAGACGGACTAGGCGGACGGCTGGCGCGAGCAGACCAGCGGGCGGACGGCTCCGTTTTCTCGTAACGTGCGGCGCGGACGGAGAAAATAGGTGAGGGCCCATCTCGGAGGGCAACGAATAGATGGCGGACACGTGTACGGAGACACCAAACGGGACACGCCGAGGAGACACGCAAGCTTCAACCTGCCCTACGAAGAAGACGGATTTCGATTTTGATAGAAACCCCCCAAGGTCGCTACAGTAAACGAGGAGAGATAACGAAGCCGTCACGTGGTGAGACCACAGTGAGCGCTCGTGCTCCCAGACGAAGAAGACGGCTGGCCACGTGTTGTACGGATCCTGCTGCGTGCGCGCTGGGTGAAGATTGCCCGCCAAATCTCTCGCCATATATGTTTTGTCTTTGCTATTTTCTCCCCGCCTCGACAGTCTCCGCCTCCCTTGCGCGGCTTCACCGAGAGTTGCCCCTTCCCTCTCCGGCGATATCTAGCTAGATGTCATCGGTTTCAAAGAGAAAGGCTGTGATTCCTTCGAAGAAAAAGGCGACGGCAGCGACGACGGGGGTGGTTTGTGGTGGCGGCTGCTAGCAGAGTTCCTTGCGGAAGCGGCTCGGCCCCAGCACCCAACCTCGCCGGTCTCAGCAACGGCGCGACAACGGCATTGGTCAGTTGCGGAAGCAGCTCATCCCCAGCACCCAACCCCTCTGTAGGTTCAATTCATCCTCAATCCATAGCAGACGGCTTCGATTCTTCACCTATCCATGGCAGACGAGGTTTCCTAGTCGGATTTGGCGCAGTTGGCTCTTCACTTGGCATATGCGGTGGCTCCATCAGTCCAAGTTTCCCTCCGTTTGGGCATCAATCCAGTTGGGATCCTGCATGGTAATTCCAAAATTATTTGCTAATTTTTCAATTCATATGTTTATATGTGTTGTTGCTTGTTTTTTTGCTGAAAGTAGGTAATTAGGTATGCACTATGATACTATTTTCAGTTACTGATAGTGCTAATATATTTTGGGATAGCAACTGCAAGATCTATTTGTTCAGTTCAATAGAATTGATAACTGAATGTGTACAATCATCGATCACTTGAATTTTTTTCTAGCTACTGAATGTTTTTAGTTTAATAGAATTGATGTTGAATGTGTTTAGTCAATCAGGAGGTGGTATTATTTCTACTTGTGTTTTTGGTGGAGTATTTTTGTTATCAGTGGTAACTGAATGTTCAGTCAATAGAGCTGCATGTTTCTCCTGAACATAAATAGGAAGTAAGACAATTGTCACTTTTTCTAATTTCACAAAATTAAATAGAACAAAGTTGATTCTATCTCTTATTAAAATATGACATTTGGAGTTTTAAAATGAAGTTACTGTTTTACTTTTCTATTAGTTTGATAAATACACATCCAACAAATGGATACAAGTTCAGTAAGAAATTTAATAAGAAATATATGCTGCTTAGTTTCCTATGAGTATTACTGAGTTCATGTATAACTCTTGTAGGGACAACAGCACACATCCCCCGGTGGATTTATGAGTTTATTCAACAACCAACCTTAATTATCACATAATTCTCATTTTGTTGGTGCTCCATCTCATTATGCACCTTTGAAGGCACCAAGGCCTGTTAATTTTGGCGTCAGTTTTGCCTCAATGGATGCACCATAGCCTAACAACAGTGGAAGTTCGTCTCAAGAAGTGGAAGTTTTATCTGACCAGCAAGCTCAGGCTATTGACGTTGATAGCGATACTGAGAATGAGAAGCGGATCATGTGGACACCAGAAGAAGATGATGTAACACCCAAAATTTTGCAACATTTTAAAATAGCTAAATTGATTTATTTATGCATTGGTGTGAGCATTTAAACCTAGTGGAATAATATTTTTTGTTAAATTAAAATTAAATATAGGACTACATACATGATTATGCATTCATGCTGCTGCATGGTATTTTTTTGTATCGTGTGATTTGAAATCAAACTTTAAATTGAGTTGAATTTGTATTTGAAAACTGGTTTGGAAAATTAGAAAAAAAGAAAAGTTCTCTTTTCCCCCTTTCGGCCTGTTGGCCCAGCCGCTCGGGCTCACCCACCCGCAGGCCCTCATCTCTCCCGCAACCCGCTCCCACTCCCGCCTTTCCCCGCTTCGCCGTGGCCCGCCTCACTCCTTTTCCCCGCGGCCCAGCCCAGCGCAAGCCGCGCCGCCCGCGTTCTCTCGCCTCTCGTTGACGCGTTGGGCCGCGTGTCAGCCGCTGCCGTCATCTCCTACCTCCTGCTCGTGTTCAAGCCGGACACCGAGCTTGTCTCCGCCTCCGCTACACCGTGCCTGGCATGACCCACAAGCCAGCCCCGCTCATAAATAGTGCCCCTACGTTGCACCGCCCTCACCTAACCTTAAAGCGCTAGCCGCCGCCCTCGCATTGCTCCAGCCGCCGCAACCCTAAGAGCGCCACGCGTCGCTGTCCACCCTATGGAGCCGCACGCAACTGTAGACCCGCCCTCGTCCGCGTAAAGCTCCTAGGTGAGTTCGTCGTCATCCCCTCTCTCTCCCCGTGGTCTTCCCGTGTCCGTTGATGGCCGGAATCGTCGTATCGATGAACTTTGACGAGGTCTGGACGAGTCTGGCAATGGCGCCGCCGCCTATCTCGCCACCAGCGCTCTCTCTCTCCCTCTCATCCAATCCGAGCCATCCAGATTCAATCCAGTGCTCCCAAATAGATCATATCGGTTAGGCCGGAATATTTGCAAAAGAGCCCCCACTTTTCTTATTATCCAACCCGACATCCCTGCATTTTTTCTAAAGAACCCCTGTACTTCTTTATCATGCCCGCCATCTCTGGCTCAATTTAAAATCCAATTTTATTAATTTAAATTCTAAAATCAAGTTTCTTCTATTTGCAGTTTTGCCACTAATCTTGTTTTAGCCCTAAAATCTTCGTTTTGACTCCGATTTGACCCGTTCA